GACAAGGTCTCCAGAGCTGAGATTTCAGTAAATTGGAATTGTTAAAGAAGGGTGATTACCAAGTCCCGTTGTCACCAAGAGCTAAGAGTTGTCGGCTTCTTTTACGATACCTGGTGGCCTATACGAGAATTGTTTTCGTTATGCCCTTCGGCTTCCTGTAAACGCGGCCTCTACGTTCTGCGTATTTTGAACTTATTTCGGGCGGATTGGACGGCAGACGATGCTTTCGTGACGTCTTAGTCGTATACGCCGCAGTTGCACCCAATCAACTTGGTCAGTTTAAAGCCTTGTTTAACGCCTTAAGTGTTATACATAATTTTTCAGTGAATTTGTCCCAAGTGTGGAGGTTTGGCCAGCACAGAAAATTATAATTATTAGGATTTTCGGAGGTGGAGATCAAGGTGAAGTCGCTCCTTTGATACGCAATAGTAAAGGCCCTCTCTTAGAATTTCCTACCTATGGATAGAAAAGCGTCATCAAGATTTTTAGCAGTTGACGGTTTACTACCTTCGGGTTTTCTGTCACGAATTTGCAAAGTTAGCTTTTCCCCTAACTGAATTAACAAGTCAAAAACAGTTTTATGGACCCAGGACTGTAGGAGAAATTGCTTTTAATCGTTTAAAAAGATTACTATCCTCTTCCACAGTCATTGCTATGTCCTGATTTTAATAAACTTTCCACTTACAAATAGATGCCAGTGCGTTTTCTTGCATTTGGGAGCGCATTGTTACAGAAGGGCTCCAAATTCTGAACTTTTACAACCTGTTTACTTATTTTTCTGCCTAAGTTAAAGAAACACCAAACAAATTTATTATTCAAATATAGTATAAGAAGCCTTAGCTCTCGTTGTATGCCTAGAGAATTTTGATGTATATTAGGATCTTCTAACCATCAGATATCGCTGTACTCCGATCATAATCCTTTACCTTTAATTTCTATGAAATCGAAGAACGCCAGAATACTTCGTTGGGCTCTTGAGAATTCAACCCTTCTCTTTTTACTCCATTTCCCATTAAAAGTAAAACTAATCTCATTGCTGATGACCTCTATAGGCCTTTGAAATTTTATTAATATACCTTTATTTTAACAGTATGAGTCGGTACTTTTTATGACCATCTATGTTGTGGAGAAGTCTGGAGCATGTAGGACCTGCTGTCTGTTACAACACTGGCTCTATGACTGATCCTACCCACCACAGAGTACAAGTCCAATGGCGTCCGTCAGTCACGAGGGGGGAGGTGTTTACGCCGCCCTACTTCACTCCATTATATACATAAAAATAAAAGGCACAGGTTATAATAAGTTCTGTAATAATATATCGCGAACCACTTTATAATTGCTAGTTAAAGAAGGGGTTAGACTATATATTATCGGGTACAGTATGAATTCAAAAGTACTCTATTATGTATTATATTGTATTATATATATCTTTCCCCCTTGATTATTATAATCTCAGAATTTTTTTTATATTTTTACTTAGGTTTGGTATTACGAATGTGTAACCAATACTGCTAGTGATCAATTGGTTGGTTCTAGTATTGACGCCAACCACGCGTCTGCCCTAATGCGCCGAGCTGAAGTCATACATGAAGTTGTTGAGTGAGTCAGTCCGCTCCTAGCTCTGACCTCGAGTACGGGTCTTCAAACAAAGCTCCTAGCTTTAACTAAAACTTTTTTTACCAAGTCTATTGCCTTTGCCATTAGTCTGGTAATTAATGTCACTTATGAATAGACAAACTATTTCGTTTCCCTTGACCTTTCTAAAGAGTAGAATTATTAATTGGAATTTATTGTATCCATACTCTAGTTATTGAGAATGTGAACGTAAGATTGGGTTGCTTGCTGTATAGTGTATTCATTGTATAATCGGCTTGTGTTTATTTTAATTAACTAACCAAATACCAATGAAGCTAAATGATTGGTAATTAAAAGAAAAATATCAATAAAAAATGGAGTTATTTGTTGCAACTATTGTTTAGGTTGAAGGATTAAGTCGTAACAGTTTACGCTCTGTTCTTTATCTCTTTCCTTTCTCGGGCATGATCTTTTACGGTTTTTTGCCTTTCTGTTTTGCAATTGCTGCCAAAGCTTCTGTGTCTTGAGATTTTTATTGCCATTATTTCCTCTAGGGGGGGGTCTCACTGTGATTCCCGTGGCATTCTATTAGAGTGCTTTTCTTGCTACCCACCCACCTCCATGTTTTAAATAGAGGTACTCGCACCCTTTTTGATCCTTGGACTCAATATTGCTTCGATCTTGTCTGCTCTTCCTCCACAGAATCAGATTTCATGTCTGTTCTCCCGGATTTACTATGACAGCTCATTTCCAATCTTCTTACTTAACATTCTTATTAAATGTGACAGTATGCAGTAAAACACTCTATCAAGTCGCTCTGTGTACCCAAGACGAACAAAAAGTTGCTCAACCTCGCCCCCCTCACCACGTCCATTATTCCCGCCAACCTGTCAATTAAATCCCAAAAAACCCCAGAAAGTGTTTCCACTTCCCCAGGGTTCAACATCCCAACGCCGGATCAAGCAATTCCAATCACACGTCTTGACGATCTACTTCAGGGCACGTGACCTCAAATGTATATTAATACCTCCTTCACTAAGTTTTACATGTCCAATCATTCTCTGATAGTCCGTTCACTCACACAAAGAAGCCTTCACCCTGCCCAATAGACCTTCACCCTTTATTACACCGCCCACTCCACACCCTCGCAATGCCTCGCAACTAACGGGGATGTCTCCCTGATCATGATGGCAACGCCACCTTTCAACCATTTTTGCATTCTCCAAATACATCATACCCATCTATCCGCATATCACTTCTATTTTATTGATTGTGTTCCTGTACAAACACGTGTCATAATTATATGCACTAATTTTTATCGTATACCATACACGCTTTAGCACACTCCTTCAAACCATTAATATTTAATGTAGACCACTTCTAAAATTGGTCAGTGGGGCGTTTTACCATTTCGATACTGAAACGTTTCTCACCCGAATCTTTTGTTTCTCACACCTTTTCAAACCCTCCCCTTGGTGCCAACAACTCTTGACCAACCTTGTGCTTTAGGTCCACAGGGCAACACTGCCACTTCCGCCCAGGTTTTTTTCCCCTGATCACAGGCTGGAATCGTAAGCACTTCCTCCGAGTCTGAAAGCGCAACAGAGCACTTTGCGTTACACTTTCTCCTGCATGTATTCATACCACAGAGCAGTCCTGGTGGATTTCTACCTCCACCATATGTTGCAGCTAGGCGTCAGGACGCCCACGACCAATGCTCTTCGTGTCGTGGCGTCCGCCTTTGCAGAAAGGTCCAGGTTTTTGGGATTGGGTCCGTAAAGGACTCGTGCTCCTCTCTATTAAATAATTCATCCTGCCGGAGGTGCAATGGATTCCTATACGTCGTTTAGCACTCGTGCAGTGCCTAGCCGTATTTTGTTTTCGCTCCAAAGAAGGCGATACTTCCGGGATGAGTGTGGAACACACGGTTGTTTCCGTCAACCTCTCAACCTCGTCGATCATGACATCCTGATGGTTTCACCGGACACCAGTGCACATCTTGCCCCGCAGCTTCCTCCTCAACGTCCTTGCTTTGTTGCTTCAACCTTAGCATCTCGTCCGTTCCACTGTACAGCCATATGTTCATTTGCGCCGCACAACCTGCAGGTGCGGGCGTAATGCCCTGCATGTGAACACCTATTACCGAGTCTGATGTCTTGCAAGATCACGTAAGGGATTGGGTGCTGTTAATGTCATCTTTACAGAAAACGTACCTTTATGGTATTCTTGAATATGGCCCGTCAGAGCACTTACCTGCTTTGTAGCTGCCAATCCCCAGTGCGGCTTAATGTCAGACACATCAGCCTCAGAGGGCATATTTCTGACCTTTACCCCCATGTGTAATAGCGGGAGACGTAATGTAGCTTGACTGACACTGCTGGGTTAACCACTAGATTAACTTCCTGGAGCTTGTCGACCACCTCCTCGTAAACATGAGCCGAGCAGAACTTCACAAAGATCCGTGAAACGCCATTCATTGCCACACTGCACTAAGTCTTTACTGGCAATACCACAGGTATCACGAATTATCGCAGGCAATAGTAGTGCCGTCGACGGTCCAAGCACGGCCCTACGAGTCAATTTAATACACAGTATTTATGCGGCGCCTCGCCGCCATGTTGTGAAAATGAAAACTGCCACCTAGTCAACTATAGGGGGAAGCAGTTGTACACGTTCTCTCTACTCAAAGGCTGAGAGGCGAATGGTGTACATATTGAAGTATGCAGCACCAGTTTCGAATCCACACCTGGTCAAACACGCCAAGGAAATAAAGAGCGAAGGTTTGCAACAACACTAGTCCCAGAGCTAAGGAGAATGTTCTACAAGGAAAGGTCTAGGGAAATCGGCATGACAACACTGGACGACAGGAGGGTTAGGGAAGACATGATTACGACTGCGAGGAGTTGACAAGGTGGACAGAGAGAATGTTCCAGAGATGGGACAAACAAGGAGTCACACTTGGAAGTTGAAGACTCCTACGAGTCAAAGGGATGCCAGGAAGTATTTCTTCAGTCAGAGCTGCCAGGAAGTGGAATAGTCTGGAAAGTGACGTAGTGGAGGCTGGAACCATACATAGCTTTAAGAAGAGGTTTGATAAGGCTTAAGGAACAAGGAGAATGAGACCTAGTGGCGATCAGTGAAGAGGCGGGGGCCAGGAGCTATGAATCGACCCCTGCATAACTGAAAGGATAGACCCAGAAGTGTCCTTGTTTGCAGATGTGAAGTTAATGAGAATTAAATCAGATGAGGATCAGGCAGGACTCCAGAGACCTGGACAGGCTGGACACGTTGTCCACAATTGGCTACTGTTAAAACTGAGGTTAAAAATAGATGTAACAGCTCATCAGTACAGAATGAAAAAGGTTCCTCACTAAAAGTAGTTTGACGCGAGTATAGGTCCCAATTTGCTAGTTCAAATTATCAACATGGCCTTCGAGGAGGGTGAGAATATGAATGGGAAGTAAGGATAGGAAAATGATTGCTGTCATGTAAATCTGGGAGCACAGACCAGGTAGTCTTGGGTTGTTGAGGAGCAAACATGTTGATCAGTGCAAGAGGAGAGTGCGAAGGTCAAAATGGGCGAGTACCCGTATGTATAACATGGAGGGGGAAGAGAAGTGAGAAGAGCCTCTGATAGCAACGGGTCAGATCTTTCCCCCAGAGGAAATGATCAGCATTACAATCACCTACTCAGAGAAGAGGTGACTGAGGAATCCAGAAATAAAAAAAACCTGCAATAGATAAAAGCCGAGGAGAGATACAAAAATCAGACTATACCACTTGTTCAAGTATATGCGGGTTGTAGTGAAATTCAGCGATTATTTTAATTAAAGGACTAAACCACAAGGGCCATACAGCGCTGCGCAATTCAGCGAAGTATCAACAAATATCCGACAGTATGGTATACCTGTTCGTACAAGGACACCTTCATTGAAAGTTCCATTGGTAAAAAAAAGATTCGATAAATGCAATATATAACCTGGGATGTGATGGATGAAAGAAACGGGAAACCTGGGAGTCATACTTGAAGCTCACCTCTTACTCCCGAGACCTCGAATATTCCACTAAGTCACGATTTATGAAAAGTATACCTCTTCAAGGGGGGCTCCTTGGCGTGGTGAAGAGGCTCTTGGTCTGAGGAATTTGACCTATCGGTCTTCTTCCTCAGACCGAACCTAATTACCCCCCAATCTCCCCTCCCCTATCCCATCCTCCCCTTTTTCCTTTCCTCCTATTCCTCCACACTCCTCCCTTTTGCCCTTCCTCTTTTTGTCCTTTGGGATTTCTCCCACAGGCACACTAGTTCCTAGGTAGGAGAAAGGATACCGGGGTCCATCCCATTCCGTTGAGGTTCTTAGCGGTGGCGTAGTTTGCCGTGGAATCTGGATCGCCTGGGGATGTCCCGATCCCTCTCCGGTATCCCGGAGTAGCTTTGGGTGTCTTTCGGGCGATGAGTGTATCTCTGGAAGCCACCTTTCGGATTCCGGGGGTGGTGGCCGAAGGAGGTATGCTTTGTGGCGGATATCCAGCCGCCCTCTCTTTTGTCCACCGAGGTAGCTCGGCAGATGTGAGGTTGCTATCCCGGATTGTTAGTTTACTAGCATGATGGGTAGGGTATGGCACGGGTTCCATGCTGCATCTGCGCTACTTGCGGTGCTGAGGTCCTCTTGGGCACGGAGGGAGATTTCTGCCCCTTTCATTCCTCCTAGGAGCTATCCCTCCCCGGTCCCCCCTTTTCTTTTCTTTTTTTTATTTTTATTTTCTTTACTTTCTTTTTTTTTCTTAAAAACAAAAAGAAAGAAGTAACCTAACCATGGGAGCCCTAGTCCATGAACCTGGTACCCCCGGGCCCCTTCTTGATACCGCACCCCGTTCTGACCCCGCCTCATCTTTGGACCACTCTTCAGACATTCCTCATGCCTCTGTACCTATTGCCGGTGCTGTTTCCTCACCCGCTTCAGGTACTGAGGCCTCGACTGATTCTTCCGATTTATCGGACCTTCGCTCTCCTCTGACTATGCTTCCGGCCTCTCCCTCTACGGTACGGCAATTTTCAAATCGCCGACCCGTTCCACGTCGGACCAACTCTGGTCCCACGCCTAAACGCCAACGACAATTACCTGCTGATGATACTTCTCCACCTTCTCGTTCTTCTCAGAAACGATCGACTCGTCCTTCACTACCTTTCCACGCTCAGTTTCAGACTGAACAGTGGACTAAATTATTCACTTTACGACCAACTTCCTCTACTGCCTATCTTTCTGACCATAGTATTGGCAAGGCACTCCTACGCCATGTTGGTAAATATTTCTTTTCATGCTCTTAAGAGCGGTACGCGCATCATTACTGTACAGAATGCTACCCAGGCTCATGAGCTCTCTCGTCTTTCCCATATCGATACTGTTCCTGTCACTCTTGAAAAACATCATTCCCTCAATTCTTGTAGTGGTACCGTCATTCTGCCCCATACCATATTTCAACGAAATTTCCAGACATGTGGCACCGACATTCTAGAACAGCTGGAACTCCAAGATCTCCCAATCCTCAAGGTAGACACTTACGTTCTTCCTGCCCGTGGGCGGAGACGATACCCTAGCAATGTGGCTCGTTTAACTTTTGACAGCCGAGAACTCCCATCCTCAATTTATATAGCAGGACATCGGTTACAAGTTCGAAAGGTGATCCCTACACCACAACAGTGTAGAAATTGCTGGCGATTTGGCCATCCAGCGAAATATTGCAGATCTATCGCCGAATGCCCAGTCTGTGGTGCCGATGACCATTCTAATACGTCTTGCAATCGATCTCCCTCTTGCCTTAACTGTCATGAGGCTCACCCTTCGTACTCTCGCCGTTGTCAGGTCTATTTAAACGAGCGGGAAATCCGTTACCTCAATGAGACAGAAAGGTCTCCCTTATGCCATGGCAGTTTCTCATCTCCGCCTCCAAGGGAGACTCCCACGTGTTTCTTATTCCCGTGTTTCAAAACGTCCCCCCACTTCTGGTATCCCATCTTCTACACCCACCTCTGTGGTTACCTCTCCCATAATCACTCCTGTATCTAATCCTTTTGCTGTCCTCGGCTCAGACGTCCATACTTCAACGCCGCAGTCTAATCTCGCTTCTTCGAGTTCTCTCAGAAGCCTCAGTATCGACGAGACCTCGTACGACACCTCCCAATCGTCCCTCTACTTCTCAAAAGTCAAAAAAAGGTCCGGTAACACCTCCTACCCATCTTCCACCTCCTCATTTTACCCTCCCTGTCTCTGTCCCTAGTTCTTCCCCTCTCACTGGCTCAGTTACAAGTGCAGAGGTTCACCCTCCTCCTCATAATGTACCTTTCCTCCCCTGTTCCCTCCCAAGTTTCTCCCTCTTTTGCACCTCCCAGGTTCCTGCCTCCTCTGTCCCTGCACGCTTCTCCAGTTCCCCCCCCCTTTCGCCCCCCCCTACCTTGGTACAGTCCAATACAGTCCAATCTTTACTCATCTCCCCCTACCATTCCATATTGTCTCCCATACGACACCTGAATTCCGAAACACTTGAAGCAATCTCTGAATATATTGCAGAGACCAAACCATCAATGGACACTGATCCACCTTCCGCTCTTTCTCTCTCCTCTGCTCCATCTGCGCAACTCCTTTTTCACAGCGCACCATTCCTTCGCTGCTTGAACATTTTCCACTGCCTCCGCATGTGGACTTTTCTAACCCTTCTAGTCCGTAGGAACCCTTACCTGTGGATTTCAAGTATCTTTATCATTGCCAATCATGGCCTATTTACAGTGGAATATACGCGGCCTCAGGGGTAATCGGGGTGAGCTTCAGATGTTACTCTCCCAGTTTGCCCCTGTTGGTGTTTGCTTACAGGAACCAAAATTACACTCTGCTGTTATTTCTCACATCTCAGGCTATAATTTATTGTATTCTTCAGATCCTTTTCCTGATGGGACCTTTAATGAAAGTGCCCTTCTTCTCCGAACTGATATTCCATACCATCAGATATTTGTTCATACTTCTCTGCATTACACAGCAGCCCGTATCCACTTACATAGGTGGTATACGCTCAGTTCTTTATATCTCTCTCCTTCTCGGGCATTATCTATTCCGGATTTTGCCTTCCTTGTTTCGTCATTACCTCCACGATTCGTTCTGGTGTTTTTTAATGCCCACCATTTCCTCGGGGGGGGTCTCACTGTATTCCCGGGGAATTTTCAGTTAGAGGCTTTTTTTGCCACCCACCCCCTCCATGTTTTAAATACAGGTACCACACCCATTTTGATCCCAAAACTCAACTCTTCTTGCATCGACTCTCAATCTCTTTTCGTCCCCGCCGCTTTAGACTTCACTTGGTCTTTTTCTCCCGGATTACATGACAGTGACATTTCCCAATCATTTTTATTTCCCCCTTCTTTCGCCCCTCTTCGCCCCCCACGCTGGAAATTTAAAATGGGGCAAATTGGGAAACCTTTACTCAACCTAACGTTTTTAAAGGGGTTCCTTTTCGCCTCCATCGTGAGCTTTTCAACCCTCTTCTGTCCCCGTTTTCCCGCAGCTTCTCATTCAAACCCCCAAATTTGGGGGAGGCATTCTCAAAAAAGCTGCCTTGGTGGCTCCTGTTTGGCTCGTCAGTACGTTTGAAACGTGCTGGGGGGGCGGGTTTCCCGACAATGAAAAACAGAGCGACTCCTTGTTTTTAAAAAAAGCGTGTGATCGCCGCCGTGTCATCCGTGACGTAAACGCACTTGCTGGCGAGAATTGCTCCAACCCCCACCTCTGCTTCCTTATGATGCGTCTGGAAAAAAAAACGAAAACTGATGGGAAATATTCCCTGACCCCGGGTCCTGTTTTTGCGGGTTTCCGGGTTGATACAGCAAACCCACTAGAGTTGCCAATGAAATTGGCAATCACGGTCCGTATTTTGGGGGCTCCATTTGCCCCCATTTTTTTCCCAAAATCTGCCAGAGAGTTAGCAAAACCCTTTGGGCTTTTCTTTTCCAGGAAAAACAGCTTTACACTTCAAAAACTGGAGGCAACACTCTCACTTTTCGACATCGCAGCTGGGCCCCACGACATTCATATTTGTATGCTACAAAATTTACACAGTCAGCCCTTGCAGCCCTTTTAAACCCCTTTACAATCTTTTTTGGGTCACAAGGATTTTTTTCCACAGCTGTGGAAATCCCCCATTGTTCTCCCTTTCCGAAAACCGGGGCACAAAGGGGACAAAAACCCCCCACTACCGCCCCCATTGCTCTTACCGTGCAGTTTGAAAAGAAAGGGGAACGTCTAGAAAATAAAACTTTTTAGTGTGGTATTTAGAGAACACAAAAAAGCCCTTCCATCGTCAATATGGTTTTTTGAAAGGGAAAACCGTTTTCCCATAACCCCCTTACTGCGCTTGGATACGTATGTTCGTAAGGGCCTTTGCGAAAACCACTCTTTATTGCCATATTTTTTGCCCTTTAAAAAGGGGGGCATATGACCAATTGGAGGTATAATTTTTTTACCCCAAGCCCACCCCTTAGGCCTTCGAGGAAATTTACCATCCCCCCTTAAGAATTTTTTTTCCCTAAACAGGCTTTTTCCCGTTTCGGGTTAATAATTTTTCCTCCCCCCCCGGACTTTATCCAAGCTGAAGGTGCCCCCCGGGGAAAGTTTTTTCTGGGGAAACCCTTTTTTTTCCCCTTGCTATTAAGATTTGGCCTCTAGCTTCCATCAAATATTTGGTCATCACTCTTGTTGAGGGACTTCGCTATTGCCTGTGCAGGCGCTGCCTGTCCCCTCCTTCCTTTTTCTCTCCCCCTTTTGCAGTCGACCGTTTTTCCAATTGGGCCACCACACAGGGGTTTTAAAATTTTTCCAGCCCCAAAAATCACTTTCACTAGACCTCTGTCATCTCCAAATCTTTCCTTTGTCCCTTTAATGGCTCCCGTACCCCTAAACGTG